TACAGCCGAGTGCGCCTACAGCTGTGTGTACCTACAGCAGAGTGTACCTACAGCTGAGTGCACCTACAGCCATGTGTACCTACAGCCATGTGCGCCTACAGCCATGTGTACCTACAGCCGTGTGTACCTATGGATGTTTGTGCCTGTAGTTTCGCTGCTGCCCTGGCAGAGGCTGCTCCTCGCTCCAGGATGCGGTGACAGGCCTGGGGCACTGGTGTCACCTCATCATTCCCTGCTGACAGGTCAGAGTGATGCTGATGGCTGTGGAGGGGGGGCCCGGCCACCCCCCTCGGGGAGGATGACAGCAGCCATGCACATGGAGTTAATGCCCTGGAAAACGGGCGCTGTGGAGCATGCAGAGCATCCCTGTGGAGCGGCGCAGGGCAGCAGCGCAGGGCAGCAGCGCAGGACAGCAGTGCAGGGCAGCCGGGCTAGGTGCACTCGAACCATCCCTATGGAAGCAATGCATGGGGCTGAAATTCCACAGAGCTGGGTCCCAGCCCCACAGGGGTGAGCTCCCACTGTCCTGCCAAGTGTCTCTGAGCCGTGTGCTGAGGGGAGCTCAATTCCAGGTGTGTTTGGTGCTAACGATGGGTCCAGCCACAGCTGCTGCCCAGGGAGTGTCAGTGACTCTGTTGTGTCCATTCAGTATCGGTTTAGCTCATCCCAAACCAGTGTTTGCTTCACAATTGCTTCAGCTGGGCCACAGAGGAGCCCGATCTGTGGGGAAGGCAGCATCCCTGCTGCCCGCTGCCTCCCAGGACACCCCGAGGTACCTGCAGGGGGGTCCCTGACAACCCTAGGGCACAGCCCGGCTCTCCCGTGTGCTCATTCCCACTCCTTTAATGCTATTTTCACACCCTTGAGCATGCTCCTGCTTTTCTAAGGCACCTCGGGGTTTGGATGCCGATGGGAGTTACGTCAAGTGGGAGCAGAATGCTTGTCTGATCCCTGCATGCAGGAGTTGTGGGGGTGTTCTTTTTGCTGGGGTGCACTGCCATAAAACACTGTTCAAGGCTGTTCCTAGGTGGGCTTTGGATGTTTGTTTTGAGCTGTGATAGCCTGGAGCGAGTATCTGTCTGTAGGGCATGTCATCTGCTAGAGACCAGAGGAGGCCATGGAGATGCTGCGAGGGCTGGAGCAGCTCTGCTCTGGAGCCAGGCTGAGAGAGCTGGGCTGGGGCAGCCTGGAGAAGAGAAGGCTCCTGAAGGGGAGACCTGAGAGCAGCTCCAGTGCCTAAAGGGGCTGCAGGAAACCTGGAGAGGGGCTTGGGACAAGGGCCTGTAGGGACAGGCCAAGGGGAATGGCTTGAACCTGCCCGAGGGGAGACTGAGCTGAGCTCTTAGGCAGAAGCTCTTCCCTGTGAGGGTGCTGAGGCGCTGGCACAGGGTGCCCAGAGAAGCTGTGGCTGCCCCATCCCTGGCAGTGCTCAAGGCCAGGTTGGACACAGGGGCTTGGAGCAAGCTGCTCCAGTGGAAGGGGTCCCTGCCTGTGGCAGGGGTTGGAGCTGGAGGAGCTTTAAGGTCCCTTCAACCCAAACCAGTCTGGGGTTCTGTGATAAAATGGTCTGAGATGCACAACTATCAGTGATGTGAGGTGTGCCACCGCAGCCAGCCATCCTTTCTGGTGGGTTTTCCTTCTTCCTTTAAGAACACTCACCTAAAGGGGCGGTCTGAAGCGGTTTCCTCAGTGGGCACCTGAGGGATGTGCTTTGGCCCTGTGCGTGCCCAGCAAGGACACGAGGCAGCCGGAGGGCACATCCTGGCACCGTAGGGGCATCACCGCGGCGGTGGCCACCGGCGGGCGCAGGGACCCGCGGCTCTGCAGGGAGATGAATGGTTTGCAGGCTGCCCTCCCGCCTGTCATTAGTCCTTGCTCTGGGAAGGCTTTGCAATTCCTACCTGGTAAATTATGTGCCATTCCTCAAAAAAGCGGGTTAAATAAATGGGGCTGGAGCATGCCTTGCTCAGCTCTGGGCTGTGCCGTATTGATCCGGACATATTTCCAGGCCGGCAGCAATCAATTCCTGCGCGGATGGGCAGAGCAGAATCGTTTCAGGCGAACTCTCGGAGCGACTTTGTCATTAATTCGCCTCTCGGCGGCGGTGGCTGGGGCCGGGCGCGGTGCGCTCGGGGCTGCGGGCGGCATCTCCTGGGGCGGCCGAGCTGGGGGTAATGAATGCGCCGTGTTTGCTCGTCCTCCCGGAGTCACTTATTACCGCTAATTGGGAGGGACAGTTCAAACCGGCGCGGAGGAGCCTGTGCTGGGAGCGTGACATGGGTTTAAAGCAGCGCCGGGGAGCACCGCGCGGCCCGGCCCCGGCTGCGTCCTGCGCGGCTCCAGGGGCGCATCCTGCCTGTGCGGGACGCCCTGGGCGCCGCCGGGCATCCGGCAGGATGAGGGGTCCCGGGCGGACCCGCGCTGTGCGGGGGGAGCCGGGAGTCAGCGGCTCAGGGCCGGGGAGGGCACAGGCGGGCTCAGGGCTGTGATCAGCGTTAACGCGGTGGGCATCACCTGGGCCTGCTCCTTTAAAGAGCCCCTTGGGACTGGGGTCTGGCTGGCGCTGGGGAGGGCTCTGTGCCTTTGTGCCCTCATGGAATCCCAGAACCCAGCCTCGGTTGGGTTGGAAGGGGCCTTAAAGCTCCTCCAGCTCCAACCCCTGCACGGGCAGGGACCCCTTCCACTGGAGCAGCTTGCTCCAAGCCCCTGTGTCCAACCTGGCCTTGAGCACTGCCAGGGATGGGGCAGCCACAGCTTCTCTGGGCACCCTGTGCCAGCGCCTCAGCACCCTCACAGGGAAGAGCTTCTGCCTAAGAGCTCAGCTCAGCTCAGTCTCCCCTCTGGCAGGTTCAAGCCATTCCCCCTTGCCCTTCCTTGTTCCTCTAGGGCTGCAGGTCAGGGCAGACAAGGCTCCCCCTGCCCTTCTGCAGGAACATCTCCCCGCCGAGCACAAACAGATCTCATCTTCCCGAGTTGCTTTCAAGTGTTCTCCTCCAAGCTCGTGTTCTTTCATTTATTGCTGCTTTCCCCAATTAAAACCCTTTGGATTAGTCCCCTGCAAGCCGAGTGCTTCTTGCAGCTGTTTAAATTCCATTTCTATGGCAGGATCGATCCATTCCACTCATTTTTAAGAGATTTTTATTTAATGTTACTTGGGAAAAATGGCTTAGCATAAATGTTGTAGACATAAGAGCAGGAGGCGGAGAGAGGATGGAGCTGAGGAGGCTTCCAGCATGCGGGAGGAAGGACTGAGAGGCTGGTGGAGGCAACTTGATCCTCTGCTCGCCCTCATGTTGGGAAATGGGGTCTGGTTTGTGTCACGTTCCCAGTTCCCATTTTGCCCCTTTTCCCTGTTTTTTAATACAAACCCGGGGGTTGCCAAGTGCAGACAAAAAGCTTGGGTGCTCTTCCAGTGAGTAATTCCTCTCCCTTTAAACACCCCCCAAACCTCCCATCTCCTGTTTGTAATGCAGGAGACAGACACCGTGTGCATCTGCAGCCGGTTTTAAGCAGGCGTTGGAGGCGTATTGTGCACACGTTGTCACTGAAGAGGATAAACCCCGGGACAGAGCCTTCATCTGCGGCGTGAGCACCCACCGCGAGAACGCGCTCCATGTGTGGCTGGAATTCTAAGCGTGAGAGCCAGAACCGCCGTCAAAGGCCGCTCTGATCCAGCAGCCAACAAGGGAAATTTCTTCTTTCGCATGTGTGGCGCTGATAAATCGAGTTTATTTTGCAGCCTATTCTGTTTTACATTTCCTGTGTCATAACAGAATGAATTTGTTGTTCATTGATACCTTAATATATAGGTTGTTGGGAGGGTTCTTCTTTTTTCCCCCAAGGAGGAAAACAATGTCCCCTTCACGCCGCATGAATGGGCCCATTTATCCTCCCTCGCCTCCGGAAGTCATTTATTTCTCCCCTCGACAGCTGCAGGGTCTGTTTGTGCAGGAGGCAAAGCCCCGGCCCTTCCTCGTCCCCATCCCTGTGCCCGGTGCCCACACTCCCAGTGGTGCTGTTGGAAGGGTCCAGTATGGAACTGGTGCTCTGGGTGTCACTGGTGACCCTTTTGGAAGGGTCCAGTATGGAACTGGTGCTCTGTGTGTCACTGGTGACCCTTTTGGAAGGGTCCGGTATGGAACCAGTGCTCTGGGTGTCAGTGGTGACCCTTTTGGAACGGTCCAGTATGGAACCGATGTTCTGTGTGTCACTGGTGACCCTTTTGGAACGGTCCAGTATGGAACCGATGTTCTGTGTGTCACTGGTGACCCTTTTGGAAGGGTCCTGTATGGAACCGGTGCTCTGTGTGTCACTGGTGACCCTTTTGGAACGGTCCAGTATGGAACCAGTGCTCTGGGTGTCAGTGGTGACCCTTTTGGAACGGTCCAGTATGGAACCGATGTTCTGTGTGTCACTGGTGACCCTTTTGGAAGGGTCCGGTATGGAACCGGTGTTCTGTGTGTCACTGGTGACCCTTTTGGAAGGGTCCAGTATGGAACCAGTGTTCTGTGTGTCACTGGTGACCCTTTTGGAAGGGTCCAGTATGGAAGCGGTGCTCTGTGTGTCACTGGTGACCCTTTTGGAAGGGTCCAGTATGGAACCGGTGTTCTGGGTGTCAGTGGTGACTCTGCTCTGCCCAGTGAAACAGCACTGATGCCCCCAACTGTTCACTTCAGTTCCTCTTTATGTACCATGAATCAGTTCTGATCAACAGCACTTTAATTAATAGGCATGCTTTCACAGATGATGCTCCTCGTTGTAACTCAGCAGTAACTAAGGTCCCTGTGGTGGGTCCCTGGGATATTTTCCTTTTATTAAAGAAGGAAGGAAATGACTCCCTGAGCAGACAGCAGTGTTGATCCGCTGTAGCCTAGGCCAAAAAAGCCTGGGACAGTAAAGCCAGGAGCTCGTGCCATGGGCTATGCATTTGGTCCTGCCTCCCCCCAGAACTCCCAGACACCCCAAAGCAACTTCCTAACAGGAATGCTGTGTTTTTGCAGGCTCGTGGGATGCCATGCCCAGTGGGTGATGCTCTACGGACGTGTAAATAGGAGTGGGAAGAACTCATGTTCCCATGTGTCGGATGCAGCAAGGCATCTTCTGGCCTCCTTAGAGATACCAAAAGCATCCCTTAGCATCCCTCCCGTCACTTCAGCTTGTCAAGGTAAGAAATGCTAAAATAGACTTATTAAAGCATGGGAATGAAGAAGAAAACCCTCCGCAGATGTGAGGCTGTCAGCTGCAGATCCATAGCTGGCAAAGTGCACGGTATCTGCTGGCTGGAGATGCCCCCCCGTGGCTCTTCCATCGGAGCAGCATGCTTCAGCGCGGGTTTAACGTCCCCCGAATCCCTGCAGAAGGGAAGCGTATGCTAAGCATTGAGCTGCATCAAGACTTAATTCCCTCCGTGTAGGAATTAATTCCCGCCTGTAGATCACCCAGAGCCCAATCAAACACTCCTCCTTTCCCACATTTTCCCCCGGCACCCAGGAGAAAACCCAGAAAAGTGACAGATCTGGGGTTGTGTTGCCAAATTCCTAGGAAATCCATCTCCTGTTGTGTTTTCCTTCCTGTCCACCAGTCAGGGCACAGCATCACATCTCCCCCACCCCAGGCAGGGGCTGTGGACTCCTGCTGCTTTCAGGGAGCAGAGCAAGGATGCTCTTCTCCATGGGCAGAGCAGCCCCATGGCATCATGGTCTGGGGCTGCATCCACCACCCTCTGTGGTCCAGGGACACTATCCGCTACCCTCTGTGGTTCAGGGATTCATCCATCACCCTCTGTGGTCCAGCGGATGCATCCACCATTCTCTGTGGTCCAGGGAATGCATCCACCACCCTCTGTGGCTCGGGGAGGCCATGACACCCTGGCTCAGGGGCTGGGTCTCCCTGGGTGAGAAGGTTGGAGGAACTCGATGGGCTGAGGCTCCTCATGCTCCATCCTCGGGCTGTAGATGCAGCATCACTCACTGGCGACACTAATCAGAAATAATGTGTGGCTTAATCAAACTTCTCCATTAAAAGGGTTTGGAAATAATATATAAAATGAATGGTTGGAGCATTGGGTCTCAAACGCCGGGGAGGGAGGGATGGAGGGGGAGCCCCATGCACCCGCAGCGCTGAGCCGTCGGCCCTGTGACGCCGAGCACTGAGGCTGGGAATTGGGTTTGATTTTTACTTAAAATTCAAATGTCTGATGTTCTTAAATTGAACAAATGATATTTTAAAAAAATATATCAGGCTGCAACATCTGCAGATTATGATTTGCATTTTGAAATTGGCTGCTTGAATTGAACAAGGATGAATACTGTCGCTCTGCTTTTATTCGCTCAGTTTATTTAATGAAATGCTAGAGGTCAACCCTTTGTCCTTAAATTAGTTACTATAAAAATCTTTTTGTACTTTCCTGCTTGTTATGATGTCTTGTGAGCAGAAGAAAAGGTTGCCATTAATTATGTCTTTGTTGAATATGGATATCTATTCATAGTTAGTTAAACAGTTTCAAACAAAATTAGCATTGAGCAACTCTAAGGCCAGCTTTAGGTTGGTTATCAAGAATTTTTTGCTAAGAGAATGCTCTTCTGCGAGTGTGCATTATCTAATATATTCAGCTTTCAGTTGCTAATTTTTTTTCCAGATGAAGATGGGCTTAATTGAGGTTGTGCTTTTAAGTTTGTAGAGCTCTTCAGCATCTCATACAAAAGCATCTAGAGGCTTTTCATTTGTCTTGAGTATGTTTTAGATGTACAAATATTATTTACTTTAAACTCTAAATCAAAAGGCTCACTGTAACTATTTTAAATAAAACATTCTTCTCCGCTGAAATGTATATAAATTCAAAGCGGGACTTTTTTCATTATCACTTCATTTATTTGAAAGAGCTGCTATTAGCAAATTTTAGGATAAGACTGAAATAGTGGCTCAGTAGCTGGTCTCCGACAGGCGTTCAGCAGCCTCATTTACTTGTCTCAGCCAGGGGATGTGTGTTCGTGTTAAGACCGCTCCAGTTCCACGCCGAACCTTCGCTAAGTGCCGCTTGGAGTCGGGCTTGAGGGATTAAGCTGCGTTAGTTTTTAGGGCCGATAAAGCCCCGTTTTCCACTGGCCACCACGCGGGGCGGCCGCCGCTGCCCTGCGGGTTTGCCTTGGGATGGGCCGTGCTCCAGGCTCGGTCACTGGTGCCACCCGCAGCAACCGGGGCCACGGTGTTTTTTGGGGGGTGAGGAGAGGCTGGAGGGACCCCACACGCACCAACATTCCCATGGGATGGGGCGCACAGGGCTCTGCCTGGCCCGTGCCCAGGGGCCTGGCACCACCCGGAGTTCCTACGAGACCCCAGGAACGTTCATTAACAGCCCTGCTAATGGGGACCACCCCGCAGAGCACCCAGGCTGGGGGGCACCCGTGTTTTGGAGGGGCTGCATGGATGGGCTTGGTCACAGGCAGGAGCGCGCTGGGTATTTGGGAGCAGGAGGAGAGGGAATGGAGAGAGAAAGCTACGAGCAGGAAAACAAGAAGATAATTAGGAAAAGTAATAAGGAAATGTAAAGGTGGCAGCGAGGATTAGTCCCAGCCATTGGAAATGCAAATGAACCCGTGCTCGCTCCCAGCGTCTTTTTTCCAAGCTTGTGTTTCAGAAAGGATTTCTCTCCCGTGTTTTCCCCCCTCTCCCTCCTCCCCAGCGCTGCTTCCCCGGCAGCATTAAATATTCCCGAGACGAGGCTGTAACCTTGTAACGCTTTTAGGTATAATATACATATTTTCTCCATTTTAAATGCTAGCTCATAATGACATTGTGAAGTAGGGATCCCGAGTCAGCCTTATTATCATGGTGTCTCCTTGAGCTGAACCTCTGAGAAATGTGAAGGGGAGACCTTTTGGAATGAACAAATCCTTTAGCTGCCTATAATTATTTATTAAAATAGGCTACTGGGATAAAGGACGGGGAGGGGGAGGGAGGAGCAGCATTCCTTTCTCTGTACGTCCCCCCGTGCAGCCACACGGATGTATACACACATCCAGAGATCCAGGGAAGCGATTGCAGTGCCCAAGCCCCTGTTTCAGGAATCTAAAACACTGGGTGTGCAGAAAGGTGGGATAAAACACGGGGAGGCCCCAGGGTGTCTGTGAGCCGAGGGGCAGCGCTGTGCCCTGGCTGCTGCGGGTGCATCCGCACCCTTCCCGCTGCGGCGGATCCATGTGGATGCGAGCCCGAGTCGGGAGGAGCAGAGCTCTGTACCTGCACTCACCGCTCCCTGTGATAGGGAAGTAAGCATGGGATCGATGTTATTCCCACTGTGTGTGTGAATGGTGAAAGAGAATCTATCCTGCTCCAAGCGTGAAGGGGGAACCAAACTAAAACCCCACACAAACCGCAAATGACCACAAACCCCAAAATCAAACCTGGTGGTGTTCATTTAATGAATCGCTTTGATTGCTGCGATTTGTCCAAGTTCATTTAACGAGGCAGAGCAGCCGGTGTTGCCCTGTGGTGCTGAGCACTGCGGAGGTAGCGAAACCCTCTCCAATCCTGGGAAATTTTATAAACTTAGCAGGTTATTAGGAGAAAAAAAATCTTTGGGGTCAACTTCCCACTTGTGCCTTTAGCTCTCGAGCAAGTGCTTTTATGGTTTCTTCTAATATATAGGATTTATCTGCAGCTCCGTGAAGAGCTTTTAAATTTAATCCAGCGTTGAAGTAGTAATTTGTAGCTGGTGCTTTGGAACCGGCTTTTCTTTTAACTTCCCGGGCTGCGGGCTCTTTGTGCCGACTCCTCTGTGACACACAATGCCCGGCGCCGGCTCCCGCGGGTCCGGACCTCGCTGTGCTCCAGCACCGGGAACGGGAGAGAGGTGCCGAGTGCGGTGGGACCGGGATGGTAAGATGGGAATTGACTGGGGGGGGGGCTGGGGGGCTGCACCCGCCGTGATCCCTGTTGCATCCTCAGGCGGGCAGGGTCGCAGCGTTTCCCGTGCGCGCTCGGGGCTGTCGGCGTGCGGAACGCACCGGGGCGCCGGCGGCTTCCCGGCAGGGTCTGAGGGGTTTTCCAGCCCGCTCGCATCCTCATTGCCAAAATCCATGTGAAATTCCTCTTACATCGGTCGTGGAATAGTTGTGGTTGTTTTCTTCCCGTTGAGGCAGGGAATGGGCTTATTCCATATTTATTCCAGAGAAAGGGCAAAAATACATAATAATGAAAAAGAATCTTTTACCAACTGCTTATTGTAATTGAAATATACACGATTATTAAAATCCATTTTCAAGGAAAAATTTCACCATTCTGCCTTACAAATGCACATCTTCATTATGCAAAATAGCATTTTTGATCCCATGTGATTAATTAATGCTTTCTTATTAAAAATAGCATTTTTGATCTCAGACGATAGGTGAATATTTTATTCCAGATACAAAAAACATCGTGGGGATCTATTTGGACATGGCACGAGCCTGTGAAATGGCATACACCAAATATGAAATAGCCTCCCATAAATAACCGTACCAAAGGCAGGATATCAACACCGGGAGCAGCTCTGCCTCCCGCCTGTCTAAACGGGGCTGGAATTACTGGAGACTTTCTGGGAGCTGTGACTCAGGCAAGAGGTGTTGGTGTGTTTACAGGAGCTAGATCTGTGCTTTCTGTTTCAGGCTGGGGCAGGATGGGTCCCTGCTATACTCTGGACGTGTAAATGTGCTCCAGAGGCACAAGGAGCATCAGCTTCTTGCTTTTGTCACGGTGCTGGTAAAACCCTGCCCGGGGAGCTCCATGCTCTCAGATCTCGCTGGGTTCTTCTGCCTTTTTCCTGCCAAGCGCCTCTGATCGTTAATTACAGCCCAAATGAACCTTTGCAAAAGGAGGAACCGCAGAGCAGAAAGGTTTGTGAGCAGCGGCGCAGGTACAGCAGCATGTGGAGGTTTGCAGGGATGATTTAGTGAACGCGAGAACATATTTTGTGCTCCATTGTTTAGACTCAAGAAGGCATAAAATCTTTAACATCTATTTATCATGTAGCTATTTTAATGTAAACATTTGTCTATTTGGATGAAGTGTTTTCATTATTAAGCTAATTTCCACATGTTTCAGATAGACTGATGAGTTGGAAGCAGAGCACTTGCTGATGAGAAACGAAATTCGGCCTCGGCTCAGCCTGCTGTCAGATACATCTTCATTAGTTTTTGTCATTCACTGATGGCAAATGCTCTATAAATGAGATGACGATCAGGTCCGCCTTGATAACTTGCCTTATCTCATTAGTTTTCACATCAAAGTTAATCAGCAATGTGAATTGTAATTGCTGGAAGAGACAATGCAATAGATCACTCGGCCTTTTTTTTTTTCTCTATGGCATCTTGAAACATCAGCAGGCTGGTGTGAGTAGATAGGCTCTGAAAGAAAATGATGTGGCAAGCATAATAAGCAAGCTGCTCAGAATTAATGAGCTTACCCAATAAGAAAAGAATAACCAATCAATGCGAGTTGGGCAAATATAATTTAGGAATAATTGCTTGATTGGTTGTCTATAGCACACTGATTTGACCACACACAAGGATTAAGAATTAAGATGTCAAGGCAAAAAAATAATTTGGCAACTGAGGGCATGTAATTTTTTGTCTCCTTCCCTTTATGACTGAAAGCGATGGCTGTTTGATATGTTATTCCCCAAGAATGAAAACATTAGACACACACACGCTGGTGGGCGGGCTGGGGTTTTGTCTCCTTTATGCTGCTTTTATAATGCCAGCTCTTTCAAACCTCGCCGGGGATATTTCAGGACGGGACATTAAAAATGAATAGAGGGAAAATAAAAATAGGAATAAAGCCTCCCCAATGCCTCCGTTTGGGAGCACTGCACGGGCTGGTGCTGTGCGCGGGGCTGGTTTGGGGTGCAGCACCGTGCTGGGGTTGGGGCATCCCTCACCCAAAGCCGAGCCCCGGTTCTCACCACACACATGCTTTCAATAGGATTTCCCCCCCAGCCACTGGCCAATTAGTAAAGAACCCTCATATTCTTCTATCTAAACTATGGGGAAGGTTCAGCCAGAAGGTAAATTTGCTT